TTCTGGGAGAAATATAAGTTTATAAAAAACATTTAAAAGAAGTTTAATGTTTTGAAATATATTTTGGTGACTTGATGTCATTTTGAAACAATCATTGAAAAACCATTTGAATTGATGATAACTGAAATCCATTTTGATAAGATATTTGAAACCACTTGTTTATAACACAAAATCTTTGTGTTAGACTTGTATTCCCCCCCCCCCCCTTAAAACAGTAAAAACTATGAAAATACAAGGGGTTTGAACTCACCTGTAGTAAGTTATTGAAATGTAAGATCGGTGTAGGATGCTAAGTGTCAAGTGAAGTCTTGAGCACAAACGGATCCTAATAGATATAATGACACATATATGAACAGAATTAGTGGTTATACAACTAATTATGCTAAGAAACCACCTTAGGAACTAGGAATCACTTAGATTGAAGTGTATCAATCACATGTGATTGCATTAAAGGGGTTTATGGTCACTTAAGGGAGTGTATGGTCTTGATGTATACGGTCCTTGATGTTTAGGACCATGATGTGTACAGCTATGGAGTGTACGACCGTACACTCATGGGAAAACATGCAAAAATGGGTGTTTGATACTTGGGGAAACTAGTGTGACAATTTCACAACAAGAGGATGGACAAAACTATCATTTTGGAAGGTTTTGAGGTGTGTACGGCCACACCAAGTGTGTACGGCCGTACACGCTTGATGATCTTGAGTCAGATGACGTTTTAAGGCTTTGAATCAAGTGTTTAACATGTCTAACTAGATGAAAGAAGGAATACTCACACTTTTGAGGGCTTCAAAGGAGTTCAAGAGTCAAGAACAAGTGTGTGTTCTTGGTGTTCTTGGTGAAAGATGAAGATCTAACCAAAGATGAAATTCGTAGAATGAAAACATGGATTCTTCACTAGTTAAAAGCAATGAAGCAACTAATCAAGGTAGAAAACACTTACATCTTTGAAGATCTAAGTGAGAAACTGGATGATAGTTGAGAGAGAATCCGAATTCTTGAGGTGAAAGTGTGAAAAATGAGAGAGAATGAAGGGAAAACATATATATATATTATATATATATATATATATATATATATATATATATATGTACGGCCGTACGCTCCTCTAAATGAAGTGTTTGGCCTGAATACAATACGATAAACTTAAGTTAAGTCATCCCTAAACCCAAACCTTGAATGTACTAGACTTAGAACACTCAAACAGACCCTGAACAATGCTAAAAGATAGCAGAAACGAGTCTGACTGTGATTGAATTTGAAAGACTGTACATGATAGAAATGTCGGGTTGTCACACCGTTTATGTGGAGCAACCACCTGGCTTTATAAATGAAAAATATCCCAACCATTGTTATATTCTTGACAAAGCGGTTTACGTTCTAAAGCAAGCTCCAAGAGCCTGGTATGAAACACTAACTTGTTTTCTTAAAATGTCCAAATTCAAGCAAGGTTCGGTTGACCCAACCTTCTTTCGGAAGAAAGAGGGTGACCACTTGATGATCGTACCAATTTATGTTGATGACATCATCTTCGGATCTACTAATCCCAGCCTAACAGCTGAGTTCTGAAAACTGATGGAAACTAAATTTGAGATGAGCTCAATGGGTCCAATTAACTTTTTTCTTGGATTAATCATTAGACAGGGACCGAAAGGAATTTTCATCAATCAGGAGGCTTACACGAAAACTCTACTCGCTAAATTTAGAAGGCTGGGAGACTCAAAGATGAAGGTTCCAATGGCATTTGGAGCGAAACTAACTCCTTCGTTGGATAAACCAGCTGCTGATATGACCCTTTATCGTCAGATGATTGGTTCACTCATGTATCTAACAGCTAGTAGACCAGATATTATGTTTTCAGTTTGTTATTGTGCTAGGTTCCAAGGCAACCCACGCGAACCACATATAGTGGCTGTCAAGAATATCTTCCGGTATCTAAAACAAACGCCATCTCTTGGAATTTGGTATCCTGCGAACTCAGGATTCTTCGTACGAGCATTTTCAGATGCTGATTTAGGCGGTTGCGGTTTAGATAGAAAAAGCACAACTGTTGGATGCCAATTTCTCGATGGCAAGCTGGTAAGTTGGCAATCAAAGAAAAAAACATGCATTTCGTTGTCAACAGCTGAGTATGAATATATAGCTGCAACTTCGTGCACATCTCAAGTCATTTGGATTCAAAGCGAACTTCGCGACTATGGTTTGAATATGAAAAGAATTCCTCTCTATTGTGACTTCGAAAGTGCCATTCGCATATGTCACAACCCAGTGCAACACTCAAAGATGAAACACATATCAATGAGGTATCACTTTATCAAGGATCATGTGGAAGATGGCAATGTCGAGATTCATTTCGTAAGATCCGCTGATCAATTGGCTGACATATTCACCAAGGCCCTTCGTGAAACAACATTTAACAGAATCCTTCAAGGGCTGGGAAATGATGGAAGCTGATTCAGTACCAAAACCACTATCACATTCATAAAATCTTCACTGCGAATCGGTGCGAGCGTTCGCAGGCTTTCGCAGTCAACTGTTCATTAACGGTCTATTTTATCGATGCGAATCAATGCGAACGTTCACAATAGTTCGCAGGGCACTGTTCATTCGTGGTTTGGTATTTCATATATCCCTTTGTACATTTTGTATATCATTGCTTATCTTTATTTTCAAATTGCTTATATTTTCTTTATTTTTATTTTTAACTTAATTTATTTTTTTAATTTTTATTTATTTTCATTTTATTTTCAGAAAATCTCCTTTTAACTTGTGTTAATTTTCTCAAAATCACAAAAATATTTTTACTTTGTGTTAATTTTCTTTGCACACCAAGATCATAAACGAAGATGTTCACAAGATCTATCTACTCGTGTGATGGGGCATGTATAAATCTTGTTACTTATGAATTAGCTAAGTGTCCCTAGAAGCATGCTGCTGCATATTGACCTAAGCCTCAACGACTCGACTGTGAAGCCTTACTGAGTTGATACCACCAATCAATTCTTCCCAATCAGGCTGCGAATTCACATTAGTCATGAGCTACCTTACTCTTTTCACATTAATTTAAGAGTTATCTGCATGGTCACATTCGCATTGCAGAGGTACTTTCGCTCTCTTGTAACCATCTACTCTCTTCTCCATCACTTTTGCATCCATTATTGTAACCCTTGAGACTCTTAGAAATTACCACTGAGGTTTATGGTTATACAAACATCTGTGTTAATGATCTTAGTTTCGTTCTACCACGAACTGAGTGAAACCCAAAATTCAACACCTTAAATGAATTGACGGTGAACAATCAAACGTTCTAGTTTTCACCCAAGTATTAACGAAACCACTTTCGTGGGAGGTACCATGAAATCTTTTTTTAACTTTCGAGCGATCTTTATGAAATTGTCTAACACCAAAAAGTTTCTACCCAAAAGATCCAGTTTATCTTTTTGTGAGATTTCAATATTGTTCCAAGTCACTGAAAATAAATTCCAAACCTACTCGTTCAACTGACTTCACTGGTCACACGAGTACCTTTTCCAACTTTTGCACTTATGTCAAGTTCGTAGTTTGGTTGAAGGATGAACCACCTTTATAAGCCTTATTCAAAAGATGCCTTTCAGTGTTTCTCATCAAACATCTGATCGTATTCAACAGGAAACCACACAGACACTTCTTAGTCTCTCTTGACTATGAAGAAAGAGATCTTTGCCTGGGATCAATAGTTTTATGTCTCCTGTAAGACATCACAACATCCCACAGATAAACTTTGTTTTATTTCTTTTTCTTTGTCACTCTTGCACGAAGATCCTAGTGATTTTCAAAAGTCTGGTTCCTGGTTACAATTAGCTTTCAGGTTCGCAGTTGTATGTATTCAACGTAATTTCCTTACTGCGAAAGAAGATGCGCTGACGCGGCGAATTTTAAAAAAAGATAAGCATTCAAACGGACGCGTGCAAAGTTGAACGGACAGCTATTCATACGCCGCGTGACGCATGCCTCTGACTTATCACAGCTGTCAAATCATGCTTTTTCAGGCGACGATTCAGTATTCGAGATACTCTCTCTCCGACGTTCTCTCACCAAATCACATCGTATAAAAAGGTTTTGACGGTTCCTTATTTCATTACCACTCTTAAAATCTCTCATCGATTTCTGGCGATTACAAAGCTCCCCACTGTTCATCTTCTTGTTCAAGCTTCATCAATGGCGGCTTCATCTGAGAATATGTCTGTTCAAGATCAAACTGCTCATTCAACTCTTCTGGCAGTTAAGCAACATCAAAACCTCATCATCGATCTGGATCCGGTTAGATATGATCCCTTCCTATTGCCTCTTATTGAGTGCTATAAGTACTCTCCTCTTACCATTGCTTTGACTCAAGTTGAGAATGTTCCTCTCTCGATTCTCTCTAAAGCATACACTACAACCAACTATGTCAAGGAAGAGCAACAGATTTATTTCTACATCCATAATCACACAACCTCGATTTTCAAGACCCGTTTCTGCAATCTGTTAGGGCTCCCACAATCCGAAAACATGATCAACCCAGAAACCATCCCCAACGCAGCCATCTTGGAAATGTTTTATCAAATGGGGTGCAAGGAATCTCTCACTGTTGTATCCAAGTTCAAGAAACCCAATCTTCCACCTACATGGAACGCTCTTTTCACCATCTTGTTCTAAGCTTTTCTGAAATGCTCACTAGCAACGACTGTGCGAGCAAACTCTTCATGGGTCTGATGTATGGCCTATATACCGATGAAAATGTTGACTATGGTTCTATCCTCTGAGCTCAATTTATCCAGAGCACTCACTCTGTTACTCGTCATAGTGAGATCTCATGTGCGAGATTTTGGTCCATTGTTGTTAATAGGGCAATTCAACATCTCAAAATTATAGTGATGACTGATGCACTGATGGCTTCCATTGCGACACTCCATACTACAGGTATCATTATGGCGGATAGGTCAAAGTTTTCTTTCATTGGCTCGATTCCGGAAGCGATGTTTCGTGATGTTCCTCCCTCCAGTAAAATTCTAGAAGGTTATCGCACTATTACTCCTTCAGGACCTCGTCCTTTAACTGATGAATTTCAAGAGATTTTGGCTGAGGCAGATAAAGCCAAGAAAGGGGGCAGAGGGTCAAAGAAAGCTACCAAGAAAGACTCTGCGAAAGAAGGAACTTCTGAGGCTGTGAAACCTCCAACTAAAAAGCGAAATACTCATTCTACCTCTACTGCTGCACCAAAGCGAAGGAAGCAACCCGCTAGAAGGCAAAAATCTCCCACTCCTACTCCATCTCAGAGTGAAGGAGAAGATTATGATTCTAAAATTGAGTCAGAGATTCGCATTGAGGAGAATCCCCCTGTTCGTACTGAAGAAGATGCGCCCATTCACACTGAAGAACAAGAACACGTTCACAATGCGGAAGAAGAACAAGTTCACACCGCATCACCTGTTCGCACTGAGGCCTCGTCTCCGAATCGTGAGATAACTCCACCACTTAATGATTTTGTTCCTTCTCCACCTTCCTCACTAAAAAGGACTACTTCTATACCAATCACCATTGAACCTCTTCCACCACCAGTATCGTCTCAACCACCCATAACTATTCCAGTATCAATCCCTGTTTTCACAGATTCCACTGTTCTGCCTCAAACCTCTACTTCACCTGTAAGTTCAGTCAATGTATCTGATACGGGGGCTAACACTTCAGGTTTTTCAACCCATGTTACACCACCTATCTCTCCCATTCGCACAGATGACCCGGATATGATTTTCGGATATGATGAAGATGATGATTTGGAAGGATTCACTTACAGTCCTTTTCAAATAAGGATTGACAGTGAAGATGATGTCTCTACTACGAAAGGGGAACACAAATCTCTTCATGAGAAGATTGACCAGCTGCTTCTCGCATCCAATCTTTCCACTTCCGAGGCTTTCTCCAAAGCCGCGGTTGAGTCAATTCTTGAGCGAGTCACAAAGGAACATACTGCTAACACTTCCACTTTGTCCAAGGCAGTTTCTGACTCTGCTGATGTCTGCAAGGCTATGACCGAAAAAGTCAATAAACTAATTGTTGACACAAGGGAATTCATGGAAGACTACAAGGACACCTACAACGCAACCACCACAACTACGAGAAAGGCTATTCAGAATGTTGGTACCATGTTCCAAGCAGAAAAGACGAACTTTTCTGAACTTCGCAAGGTGTTCCAGTCTGATCATGAAGCATTCTAGTCTTCTATCACTGCGAAAATCACAAAGCTTCAAGAGGTTCTGGCGACAGAGAACAAGATCATGGATGCTCTCACAGTCAAGGAGGAAAAGTGTAAAGTGTTGGAAACCAAGCTTCACTACAATAAAAAGGAGGTCGATGATTTGCTAGAAGAGAAAGCAGTCATGAGAAGTTGTATCTCTAACGTTAATGGACTGCTTTCTGATATCATTGAGACCCGTGATCCTATGATCTCCATCATAGTAAGGAAGCATTTGGCTGAAAAGCTAAGACCGGTGTTCGCTATGTTACACCGTTTGGAGGGTGTTTCAACGCCGATGTCTTTTCCGATACAAGGGGGATAAGGTAGCTCCAAAGTTCAAACGGATGAAAACCCCAAAGATTCAACTAAACCTCCTATCATCAAGCAAGAACCAAAGAACAAAGAAAAGTTATTCAACGATGAACCCATTATTGATGATAGTGATGAAGAAGAGCCTGATGAAGCTGAGCTCAAAAGGCGGAAGGCTTGCGAGGCATAGATAGACGAAAATGCCCACATTTTTGAAAGAGGCAGAGGAGAAAGAAAGAGCTGAAAAGGAAGCTCAAGCTACTCTTAAAAGCAAAATGTTATTATTTCCTAAGTGGACCCTGAAGCGCATTCAAAACCAAGCCGTGGATATGCCAAGCCAATATTGGTTGGATCCAATTGCTTCCTTTGATGCCCAAAATACACAGGATTCGCAAATAGACCTTCCTATCACACCAAAGGCGTTCAGGTTTCGTGCCTTTGTAAAGGTTGCTAATGTACCTTTCTCAGACAGCAGTGCGGATCAACTGCTGTTTGCCTTCTACTTGAAGCACATGAAGCCCCAGTTCGAGACTTGGAGTGCGAGCAAGATTGTTGCTGTGAAGGTTACTGGGCCAATCGAGACCGAAAGCTTCCCTAATGCGAAGTTTAAAGTTGTGAGAAGATCTGCATATCAAGCCTGCGAATTCACTCTCGTAGATCTGCCTTGCTTGAACCCCCATGACTGGATGATGATATTCAATATTTTGTTGCGAGAAAAGGAGAAGTACGAACCTGTGTTTTCCCATCTTCAACTTTTGATCAGGTATTACATTCAGGAAGTGGGAATGATGGATGTGGAAATTGCCACTGTTTTAAGGCAAAAACCAAGTGCTGTTCCAAAAGAAGCTCCGAAAGATTTCCAGAAGCTCAAGCCAGGAAATATTTACAAGGAAGGATGGTTTGTGGTATACACGTCTAGAGGTCGTCCAGGAGCAGATCGTCGCAAGTTAATCTTTCATCTCGAAGATAAACACATGTTTACTACTTCTTGTCTGGAGTTTATTTTGGAGCTGGTTGTGAAGTTTAAGGGCAACAACAAGGATGATGTGAAGTGTTTCACAGATGTGATCACTTGGTATATTCAAGTTCGCAAGGTGTTGTTGAGCTTCATTCCCAAAGTCTATGAAGTGCAGAAGCGAATCAAGAACTAAATGGCTATGGTCTCAATTGACGCAAAGGGGGATATCATTGAAGATATTAGTGTTGTGTCATTGGGCCTGTTTTGTCTATTCTATTTTGTATAAATGAGTTGGGCCTGTCCACTCGTATTTAATACTAGGGTTATAGTATTTAAGGTGCATGCATGCTACATATTTTAGTGAAGTTTGATAATAATCTTTGTAACCCTAATTTACGCCTCTACAGAAGCAATTCTTCATCGAGTTCTTCTGAGGTGTGACTGTTAATCATTCAGCACCAGTTTGATCATATTGTGTTCTTGTTTACCTGCTTTAATCTATTCGATCATCAAGGATTTATTCCTATCAATACCTTAATAGATCCAAATTTTAAAGGTATTTTGCCAACTCTCAAAATCACATCAGTCAGTCAGCAAGTCAAAATCTAAGTCTAGGTCACGTGACAAATATTTTTCAAATCCCAAGAATACTCCAGCAAAACACCTTTCAAGGACCAGACAGAAGAAAGAAACTTCACCTTCCGAACCTTTGACAAAATGTGGTTTTTGTTTTGCTATAATTAAGGGAGAGGAAATTATACTTCATTCCAATTCTAAAAGCTTAGATTGAGATTTTAATCAAATTTAGTCAAGTATATATATGAATGTTATGTTGAAATGGTTCAACATAAGGAAATTCTATATATGGAAATATTAATTGCGTTCTCAATATTCGATTATGATTACGACATCCCTCTTCATAGTCCGAATTTTGAGAACATGGCTAATAGAAAAAATTATAGCAAAAGACTGGTCTAGGATCATGTCTTTATGTGAGACATTATGAATTGTATCCTATATGCTTCGGGTATAGAATCAATTGCATATGCTATAATATTTCTATGTGTTCTGAATTTTCCAAATGCCTAGGGCATTAAGAGGGAAAAAGGACCAGAACTGTATATGACTAAAATGATTAAGCAATTGTCGAGAACAATCTGAGGCTTACCAAAGATTGGTTGCTCATGGACAGTTGGAAGTATGGTGTATATTTTGGAAGGACCATATTGACATATTCTGAAAGAGGCAACTCTTGTTCAGAAGTGATAGGTAAAATGGGAATATGGAAATGTTTCCATAAGTGGAAGTTATTCTTTAAATATGTGTAAGATTAGAAAACTTAATGCAAAAAGGACGTTCAAAGGAATGTACTTTGAATTTGAGACATCACTTCCATGGAATTGATCTCCATTGGAATACTTTGTAATGTCTGTAGCCAAGTCTTTGTGACTTTTTGTGCATAGTCGTTACAAGAGGATCAATGCATATAACTTTAGAATCTAACAGATTTCAGTAGATGGCAAAGAATCTTGTATTCTTACATTTATCATAAGGATTTGGGATTGTGAAATGAGTATCGTTGAAATGTTTTCAATTGATCTATTCGATAAAGAAAGGACCATAAGTAAACATAGCGTGTATGCTTGGTGCATAGCATAACTATTGTTTAGACAAACATAGTGTGCATGCTTGGAGCATGGCATAACTATTGTTTTAATTCAAGTATTAAGTTGATTATTCGAAACATTATACAATGAATAATGAGTAATCAATATGACTCAAAAGTTTTTGGGCCATATAGGATTAGTATTATTTTTGTGTTTCACTTTGCATGTTTTGACTTCCCGAATAACTAGGTTATTCAAACCATCCACAGTCGATCATACTTTGGAAGAAGGTATTGAGGCAAGACTGTCATGAATGGGTCTGTAGTTTGTCTAGGACAAGGTGGCTGCAGTATTCATGAGTTCTCCTGGAATAAGATTCGAGTATTGGATTAAACCCACACTCATTTGAATCACTTCAAGGATTTTATCAAGAGTGATCATGAGACGATAATATCTTATATTCTTCAAACGGAGACGTGTGAGTTGTAGTTGCGAGTCGGTTGCACATTGACATATGTAAACACACGAGTAACTTGGATGTTATAAAACATATCGTTGTGTGTAATTTGATGAGTGAGTACAAGCGAGCATTTGGGTCGAAGTTTATCCGTTCCTTTTACCCCATGTGGATAAAAGCAATATATATGGGGCCCTCAATGATTTAGTGATGACAATCCTAAGTGCTCGGCCGGGCCTGGACTGATTTAATTTGTTCAATTAGTCGGTCGTCATAAATTAGAAATCGGAAACAACAGATGGACAGAGAGAATGATTATAATCTATGTCTCAGTCCATATGATATCTAGAATGGAGGAATATATGATCCCTTATCTAATGGACACGTCCTTGACTAGGTCAGAGTTCGACAACGGCTTTTAAGAGCTACGATTGCTAGTCGGGATTTTAGAGTCGTATCTGCAATAATAGTTTTAGACTTATCCAAGTGGGAGACTGTTGGATTAGATGTCTAAGCCCATAACTATTATTGGTATGTACTCGACCTGAGAGTAGTATGGTCCATTTGGGTTGCATAACATCATGACAATTTGTTAGGATGGACTTTTGAGAAGAGGTTATATATGATTTATTAATATATTATAAGTTCTAATATATTAATATGAAATCATATGATTTAATTAGTATTGATCAAGAATTGGTTTCGAATTAATTTAGTGATCAAAAGAGACTAATTAAATCTATGGGGACTAATTATGGTAATTGGTTATATTTATATGTGTTGGGCTTATGATCCATATTGGACTAAGTTTATGTCTGGATACATAAAGAGTTGGGCCACATGAACCATGGATCATAAAACCCATGGGTATGGACTTGGGTTATACCCATGACTCTTGGAATCCTACATATAAATATAAGCTCCATAAGCTAAAAACGCTGCTAAGGAAGAACTTCTAGTTCTTGGAGTTCATGGAGTTTTTTTTGGTGCATGGAAATTCTCTCTCAAGAGTCACCTTTGTCCTAGGTGAGTTGTGATTCCATTTGAGGTGCAACACTTGGGGCACTAGGTTCTTAAAGGGCAAAGTCTTTCTAGCAGCATCAACAACATCAAGAGGTATGTCTAAAACTTGTTTTATTATACATATGTTATTTGCATGGTAGTTATAGGCTTAATGCTTTGGAAACACTATTACATGTATAATTAGAGAAAACATAGATCCAAGGCATTTAGGGTTGTATGTGCACCATAGGATGTTGTAGTATACTAAAACCCAACACCTTGCACATGGCCAGAAGGTTGGAATACCTTCGCGATTTTAGGCCAATTTGTATTGGTGGACACATAACTTTTAGAAACAATGCAAACAGAATTATCAAAGGTTATGGATTATTGACTACGGGAAGCTTCTCGATTCAAAGAGTTGCTTATGTTGAGGGTATTAAGCATAACATGATCAATGTGTGTCAACTATGTAAAACTGGTCATCGGGTTGAAATTGATAGTGAATATTGTTATATAATGACAAATTACAGGAACACTTGCCTGATCAAATCTAAAGCTGAAGGGACAATTTATCCTTTAGATGTCTCTTTGATCATTGGCAAACCGCAATTGTGTTTTCTTTCATAGGCAGTGTCTGTAGTGAG